TAACACTGGAAAAGCGTGCCCTAACCCGTCACGAGGAAGGGAACGCTGCGGAAGCCATGATGAAGGGGCGGAATGCCTGGAATACACATATATACTAGCCCAGGGGCATAGTGAAACATATGGCAGTCCCTGAGGCAGTCCCAATACTCTCTGGTGATAGCATCCACTAACCAGTGAGCTAACCTCTGCTTGGAGACGGCCTTCTCCTTCTGCTGGCCTCTGTAACAGACAAAGAGCTGATCTGAGGTCCTGAAGCTTTGCATTCTGTCACTGTAAACCCGCAGGGCGCGGACGGGACAGAGAAAAGCCAGGGCTGGGTCTGCCTCCTCCTGGGGCAGCGCTTGCAGGTTCACTACCTGATCCACGAAGGGAGTTGTAGGAATCTTGGGCACAAATTCAGGCACGATTTGTCGTCTGAAAAAGCCTGTAGATCCCCGACCCTCTTAAAAGAGGCCAAATCCAACAGGAGCGCTGTCTTAATGGACAGGATATTCAGCTCCACTGTCAACAAAGGCTCAAAGGGAGGATTTTGGAGAGCTCTAAGTACCAGAGCTAGGTCCCAAGAGGATACAGAGTGCAAAACATGAGGTGGATTTAACCTCCTAGCACCCTTTAGGAATCTGATGATCAGGTCGCGCGTCCCCACGGACTTACCTTCTACTACAAGGTGATGTGTGGCTATTGCGGCAAAAAAGACTTTGAGGGTGGAGGGAGAATTCCTTCGCTCCAACCCATCTTGTCGGAAGGAAAGCACTACTCTGATCGGGCAAGTTCGGGCGTCCTCCTGGCGAGAGGAACACCACTTGATGAATAGGATCCACTTCAACGCATAGAGGCGCCTCGTAGAGGGGGCTCTAGCAGAAGTGATGGTGTTTACCACAGCCTGTGGAAGATCACCTAGAACCTCCGCGTCCCGTCCAGGGGAGTTTCCAGAGGTCTAGACGCGGGTGCCATAGAGTGCCCCATTTCTGAGAAACGAGGTGGGGGAGCTGGCGCCGGAGGATGACCTTGGCGAGGGGGAGCAGCCGGAGGTTCTACAGCAACAGAAGACGGGCTCGCAGCAGCCAGCCTCCTGTCCAGGACGTGCTGTATTGCCTCCGACTGCTTCTGGGCGGCGGAGAACTCCTGGGCTAAGTTCTCCACCGCGTTGCCGAAGAGGCCGCCCTGGGATACGGGGAAGTTGAGAAGTTTGTTCTTCTCCGCTTCCCGCATATCGGCCAGGGTCAGCCAAAGGTGGCGCTCCTGGACCACCAAGTTGGACATTGCCCGACCCAGCGAACGTGCGGTGACTTTCGTCACCCGGAGGACGAAGTCCGTTGCCACACGCAGCTCCTGCAGAAGGGCTGGGTCAGGACCACCCACCTGCAAGTCATGGAGCACCTTTGCCTGATGTAATTGCAACAGCGCCATGGCATGCAGGGTGGAGACGGCATCTCCACCTTCCTTGCAGGCATCCCTGGTTAGCATAGAGGAAAACCTACCGGCACCTACAGGGAGGGGCGTGAAGGGGCACCCCGCCAAGTGGAAGCAATGTTCTGACACAGGTGCATCATGATAGACCGCTCCACTGGAAGCGCCGATGGCAACGCGCTACGAGAGGCGTGAGGCGCCCGACAAGATCTTTCACCAGTCGGAGCGGTCCTCACGGTGATCCTCATCCGCTCACCAACAGGAATCGCTGAAGTAGCCGCCTGCCGAACTGAACCGGCAGATGAACTAGATTGAGGATTATCTGAAGGGACTCCCCTATGTTTCAGGGTTCTCAGCCTCGAACGCAGCATCGTCAGAGTCATATTCCCACAATGAGAACATGATTCATCCACAAACGCTGCCTCAGCCTGTGCTAAGCCCAGACGCGAGAGAGAGAGTGTTTGTGGCCATCATCCTGAGTCAACCACGTCCAGAAACGCATGGGTGAGATGATATCCTGAAAAGGACACGCACCAGTGATGCTCTTTTTGTGAAAGAAAAAAGAAATCGTTCTCTTTATGCGCCGAAGCCCCGAGGGATCACCGCGGCAGACACAACAGGAAACTGCATCCCGCGTGCTGCACTCAGTCACGAGACCACTTGAAGCGCTATCACACCAGCACGATTTTGAGACGTTTCTTCTTCCTAGAAGGCTCTCTTCAATATCCAGAACAGCAGCAGGTAACACTCTGTGAGGCTTCGAAGCAAAAAGCGTCATGCATTGTTTACTTCCGCTTTTTATATCCGCGCTAGTAGGCGGCTCGCGGAATGCAAATTTTGCATGCCAATTTCATTGGCTCGTTTTTAGTTCTCTCGAAGGCAGTAGGCATCCCAATTTTCAGGGAACTGCCCGACGACACGGAGTTCCCAGGACGAAAGGGAAACATTTTGTAACATTTTATAGGCCTACTGTCTTTTGGCTTTTGATCAGTTTAATGTGTACCTGCTGAATTCATGTATGACTCATTTCTTTCATGCTACCCTACACTTTTGAACTGTTTTGTGAATGTGACATATTCTGATGTTCACAATGCAAATATAAATTCTAAAGGCCAGATTTACTAACAGCTTTCGCCAACGCAAAAATTAAAAACTACTGTCAGGATTTACTAAAGACACACAATGAGAATTAGTTTTGAAAAAGCATGGACAATTATTTTTCGCGGCTGACCTTATTGCATATGCATTGGTAGGAGTTTTCCTTTCAGACGCAAAATTTATGGGTGGAGAGTATTTATATGATTCATGCAAGGTGATTTACTAAGTTTGCGGTAGTCAGTTTAGTGGTATTTGCACCAGTACTTGTAAAATGCACATAAATGTAACAAGATTGTATTTTTCAGTACTAAACTGAACTACATCTGTGGTGTAATTGTGTCACTATTTCTACCACTGTGCTCTACTTTCTGATAAAATGAGCAAAAAAAAAAAAAAAATCCTGTAGACTGAGAGGGGAATTGAGGCATATCTAGAGACCAGTTTTAGGCTAGTACAGCAACCGTATAGCAACTACTCTGAAAACCTTTGCAACAAAGTGCTGGAAACCTTCCAAAACAATTTAGAATTGTGACAATGAGCAAGACCCACTCACATTTCCCTCTAAAAATGTAAACAGTGAGTTTTGAAATTGCAATGAGATTTTAAAAGTCCTATTCCTTTAGCTTTTCTTTTTACTTTGACACCACACCATCATAGCAATCTAAAATCAGATCCTTAAATCCCACGTTTGTTCTTGAGGTTGTTGAAGTGACTCTGTTTTAGCTGTGGATTTTGTTGTTGCCCTCAAGAGATATTCTGCTGTGGAAAACCCAAAGGTGTGCTTTATCTCTGTCAGATACCTGACACAATAGATCTTTGCTCCACCTTGCAGATCCCTGAATTTCTGCTCGGATGATCCCTCGTCATGCTGTTTGTAACGAGTCTCTTGAGTTCCTTTTGTTCTGCTTAAAAATCAAAGTCTAAGATGGGACAACATGAGCTTTTCTGCCAGGGGTCTGTCACGAAGCCTGCTTATGAAATTAACATCAAGCGAACTTTCGTGGCAATTCGTAACTTTTGTGTTTTAGTGAATTGGTGGCAAACACAATATTATGTGTACATTTCCCTATAAATTGCTTAAGCTTGAAATGAGAAAAAGTAGATACTTCAGTGTCAAAGTCTCCTGTGGACAACATTTAAGCAATAATATTTCTATCTGTATTTAGTTTATCTTAGCAAGTTTAACTTTCGATGTAAATCAGTACTGTATGATGAGAGAAATTTGTCATCGCTGTGGCAAATCAACACTTAATGAGAAACGATTAGGGGTGTAATAATACCCTCATGTCACGATTCGATACATATCACGATACTGAACTCACGATACGATATTATTGCGATACTCCAAGACATATGATAAAAGGTTAACAAAATTTTTACTGTTGATTAAATTTGGTTTTACATTGTGTGTGTGTAAATGAATAAGCTTGGACTTGGTGCTAGAAACCCAATGCTAAGGACAATGGTGACACCAGAATAAAAAATATTCATGATACTGAGGCTGAAAATACAGAATTATTGGTAACACTTTACTTAAAGGGGTGTACATAAGACTAACATGACACCATAATCATGACATGACATGTTATGAATATGAAGGAAGTTTTATGCATGTTTGTGACAACTGTCATTAAGTGTCATTGGCTCAGTTATGACATTTTTAATGCAAATATGGCATTGTTTGAGATATCTTTGTTATGACAACTTGATATTACTAAGACAACACAACCTGTCATAAACATGACATAGCAGATTAATTATCAAACTTAAGAAACCACCTAGCTTTATTGGTTAACATTACATTAAACTGTCAGGTGGTTGGTTTTGACATTGGCTGTCATGAAGCCATTAAAACTTTTTAAGTACCACTGTAGTTGAGGTCACGAAAAATATTCATGATGATACAGTTATAATGGCCTCATGACAGCCGATGTCAAAGCCAATCACATGCCAGTTTAAGTTATGTCAAGTTGTCATGACAAAGACACTGACAGCTTATGATGTTATGATTTATGTCAAGATGTCATAATAAATACATCTTAAACAACATTATTGAGTGAAAGACACTTAATGACAGTTGTCATAAACACTTAATGACACATGTCATGTCATGGTTATGAAGGTGTCATATTACGAACACCCCTTCAAGTAAAATGTTACCGAATTATTTTAGATGAATAGCCGATGCTTGCACTCTGTAACTGACTATATACAGTATATTTAAAATAATGTAGGCCTCTTTTTACTGGTAACATAAGACATTTGGCATTATCAAATATTCACCTGTTGCATTTTTATACATTAAGTTCAACATGATGTAGTAGGCTACTGACACTAAAACTCTGAAAACTTGAATTTTTATTTTGGGTGAACTATTCACATATTGTATTGCGATATATTGTGACACTATATTTTACATTTAGGATCTTTTTTCAAGTTGACGCTTTTGATAATTTCCTGATGTGTCCGTGGATGTCTGCTTGTCTTTTCAGATGTTAACGAGTGCGAAAAAAATCCTTGCAAAAATGGAGGCAGCTGCACAGACCTGCGAGCGAACTACACCTGCCAATGTCCTGGCGAATACATGGGGCGGAACTGTCAGTACAGTAAGCGAGAATCGACTTCATCACCTCATTTAATTAAACCCATGTGCATAAATATTCGTCATCATCTCTCGAGGAGAAAACTAAAACTAGATTATGTCTGTCAACTTGGGGATGAGAGCCATCTGCCTTCGACAGGGTTTTTAGGAGAATCTGAGTGAATGAGGCCAATATGACATTGACAGAGTAGGGTACCACATTTCAATGACTTCGGGCGGGGAACTGATTCTGTTTTGCTTATTTTTGTCCATGCAACTTTCCTAGACGTTTGTGCGCCTGAGCATGCCAGAAACGCCTCATAACTCACCGTACGCTCTAGGACTCGAGAGAATACCAACACTTACATAAGCGTGACTTATTTGTTGGTATTTTTTGTGCTAACTCAAAACAAGATATTCCCATCTGTAGCTTAACACATCTATGAATGCATAAAAGAATTAGCTGAGGATTACAGTCATGCACTCTTACTTAAACAGCTCTCAGAGGAGCACATATAAAGTTAGATCCCTCGATACGGTTTGGTTTGTGATCATGCTGTCCAAGCACAGCAGGCAAAGCTCCCTACGGGCAAGTCTGAACAGCCTGCGGCTCCTTTTCGAATCCACCCAGTCGGCGAGATCATTAAGTGGAGATGGTTCAAGTACTCCGTTAATGTCCCAGCGAGCGAGCTACATCTCCACAGGTGGACGAAACGATGACAGCGACGACCCAAGGGAGGACATCTTAGGCTTCGAGAGTGAAGACACCTCTGTGTGTGAGAGCAAGGACACAACATCCATCGATGAATCCAAGGACGTTGCCTCCAAAAGTTCAGAGCTGACAGATGTTTTTGAGGACAAACCGGAGAAAGATGGCATTTCAGGGGCCGATACGGAGCCTGTGGCGGGAACCTGCGAGAATGATATTATCATATTAGCATTTGAGAACAAAGAACTCTGCGTTTGTGGTATTCTTTGAATTGCTTAATCTTCCCTTATTATATTTGTTCGTAAAGAAAAAATAATATTTTCTATTAATACTTCAAGAGACTTTTCCAAATAAGATAATTTTGATTATAATTAGATTAAAATTCTCACATAAGTTAAGTTTTCAGACTTTTTAAATATATTTTTAAACAGAGGTGGCATAAATGCATTCTAATTATTGGTCTTAGCCAGGGTTTATTATAGTTAACAAAAAACATAAAAAAAACATTTACGTTACTTCAAATAAAATTTCCTTTAACTGAAATAACATTAAATATATATATATATATATGTGTGTGTATTTTTTTTAAACTTATGTTTATTTGATTTCAGCTAGTTTCCAAGGAAATATTTCAACTTAAATTAATAAAACTGAAATAAGAATAAAAAATACTATAAAGACATAAAAATAACCCCAAAATACTAAAACTTTAAATAGAAATAGACAATTTATTTAAAAAAAGTAGAATAATACTAAATAATACTATATAGTAAAATAATACTCTCAATAATACTAAAATAACATGTCTTAGCTAAATACCCGTATACACTGAACAATATATTTCATTCATTTATTTTAACTGACAAAACTCCTGTGTATCTTTAACTTTACCTTAACATAAAACAGTTTTAAGCTGTACGTGACTGATTCACTAACAAGAACCAGCTCACAAGAGTCATTTTTGCAGAAATTGTACTTCACTGTTCGAGTGGCATGTTGTTGTTGATTAACTAAAAACAATTGACTCATAAAAGTCATCCGTTCTTAAATCAAACTATACTAATTTTGGTGCTGTATGCATTTGATTCAGTCAGAAGAACAGTCATTCGTTCCGTTTTTGAGCATAGACATGAAAATGAAATTTCCACTTTAAACTGACATCAATATTGAATGCTTTGGAGCACAGACTTAAGTTTTTTCTCTTTTTAAAGAGATTATTGCTAAAGTGAAACACAATTTTACATTTATTTTTATAAAAAATGCACAAAAATACTCATTTAATTTTTTTTTAATGAAATGTATATTTTCCAAAACACATTTACTCCAAAACTGTGAGAAAAGCCATAAATGTAAAAAATCTGTGTTCCAAATTTGAGGTTGATATCTTAAAACATGAGCTTTCAGTAAGACTTTGTTTGGGCGTAGTACCAAACTTTTCCAATAGATGCAATTCGTCTCCCATTCATTTCCAATACGGTCACTTTTGACCGCAACAATACAAGTGTGTCTCTTTTGTCCAGGACCATTTAACCATGTCCATGATATTTTTGTGTGTTCACACAGCAAGTGCCAAAACCTTTACCAAGTTTGGTACCATTCCGAATCTAAATTCTACAAAAAAACAGAATATGACTGAACAACACCAGAGGGTTAAGCAAAATCCAGTTAAATATCTATGAGAAGGAAACAACTGAATATTTTAAGATGAGAATTTGTTATATGCGATTTTTCTTACCATCTCTTTTCTCTGTCTATTCTCTTAGAATGTTCTGGACCTTTAGGAATGGAAGGGGGGATCATTTCGAACCAGCAGGTAACAGCTTCCTCCACACATAGAGCTCTGTTCGGCCTGCAGAAGTGGTTCCCGTACTTCGCCCGACTCAACAAGAAGGGCCTCGTCAATGCCTGGAGCGCAGCCGAGGGCGATCGATATCCGTGGATTCAGGTAATCCTGCCACATTGACTCCATTAAATGAAAATCTGCCAATCTAACGTCACCATAAAGACTATTCGTTTCTTAATACAGTACACATTCAAGTCTCATCTCATTTTTGAATAACTGAATATCTATATATGGGCAAAAATTGAGCAATAGTAATAGTGTTGCTTGCCTTAGCAAAACCACGAGCTTAAAGGGATAGTTCACCCAAAAATGAACATTTTGTAAGTATTTACTCACCGTCATGTTGTTCCAACCCCGTAAGACCTTCGTTCATCTTCGGAACATGAATTAAGACATTTTTGATGAAATCTGAGAACTGGATCACCCCTCCATACAAGTCCATAGGCTTCTTGAGGGATTGAAACTTGCCGGCCTCGAAAAGTTATTAAAGACATCGTTAAAATAGTCCAAGTGACTAAAGTGGCTCAATCTTAACTTTATCAAGCGACGAGAACGCTTTTTGTGTTCCTTCAGAGAGAATTTCCTTCTCTCTGGGCGATCTGTTGTTGTACGTCACACGCATGACCAGCGTCAGCCAATAGTGAGCCTACGTGTGACGTTTAACTGACTAGAGGCTCAAAGAGAAGGAAATGAATAGTTGAAATAAAGTCGTTATTTATGTTTGTTTTTGTGCACAAAAAGTGTTCTTGTCGCTTGATAAAGTTAAGATTGAGCCACTGTAGTCACTTGGACTATTTTAACCATGTCTTTAATAACTTTTCGAGGCCGGCAAGTTTCAAAGCCTCAAGAAGCCTATGAACTAGTATGGAGGAGTGATCCAGCTCTCAGATTTCATCAAAAATATCTCAATTCGTGTTCCGAAGATGAACAAATGTCTTACAGGGTTGGAACAACATGAGGGGCTGTAAATACTGACAGAATTTTCATTTTTGGGTGAACTATCCCTTTAACAACTTACTTAACATAACTTCAAAGCTGTAAACCAACCATCCAGCACAGTTACTGCTTTCAAAGAAAATCATAAACACCCCACAGTAATTAGTTTATACTTGGAGGCAAATTGCATCAGAGATTTTAAAGTCTTTTAAAGTCACGATTTCATTAAGAGACACACAGAAAGAACATTCTGTGCATTCACAGCCACAGTAATGACTTAAGTGATAACCACACTCTTCCACCAGCTATGCCCACACAACACCAGCGTCCCGGCCTTGTTCTGTTTGGCGTCTTGCATCAGCCTGACTCCATTTTTGTGCTCTCAAGATTAAAGAAGTCTTTGATGCCAATATGCTTTTAAATAAGACCTCAATTTGCTGCTGGAAAACGGCATTACCTGTTTGTCTAGTCCTAATATGTTCTCATTGCTGCATCAGAGTTGGTTTCTGCATCAAGGCCCACATTTTATATTGTACATCAAGTGGTGATCCAACCTAGAATGGGGTTTTCAAATAACTAGATGGCAAGGACCCCAAATAAAAATGTGTGGTGTGAAGACTTTGTTTTCAACATGACACAATTGGGCTTTACTTTGTACTAAAGCAAAAACAAATGTTTAAAATGAAACTGTACACATTGATAATAAATAAAATACATTTAATTTGTATGAATTTTTTGGTAACACTTCTTTTAAGGTCTCATTTTTTAATGTATTAACTAACATGAACTTTTAACATTTATTACTGTATTTGAAACTCTTTGTTAACTTTAGTTAATAAAAATCCAGCTGTTTATTGTTCGTTCATGTTAGTTCACGGTGCATTAACTAATGTTAACAACTTTTGATTTTAATAATGTAGTACATTTTGAAATAACATTAACAAAGATTAATAAATGCTGTAGAAGTGGTTCATTATTCATTAACTAATGTAGTTAACTAATGAAATCTTATTGTAAACTGTTACCAATTTTTTAGTAATTAACAGCCACTATCAGAGTTCATTAGTTCCCGCCAGCGGGAAGTTTCAGCGGTGTTGGTTCTGGATGCATTTTTTTCCATTTAGTCAGACTTAATGACTTTCCTGATGGAAAGAACTACAATCCCATGAAGCATTGGAAATTACATAATTGAATTAAACACTATGGTGAAAAAAAAAAACTATTCACTGAAAGTTGATAATAATATCTATAGAAACAATATATTTTAAATTTGTTGCAAAATATGCCGACTGGATTACGTCAGTCGTGGTGCTTCATTGAGACTGAGTACTTCTTTTGGGGTGATTTGCTCACCACCACTCTCTGATGAGTGGAATTTTCTGTACTGCATCATGGGTAATGTAGTTTTTCACCACTAATTAATATTTAACAACCTCACAACTCCCAACAGGTGCAGGTCTTGTAAGGTTTACAAGCAGGGCCTAAAACGAACTTCTTTCCACACCTGCCAATGGCCGGTGACTTAAAGTGACCCTATCATGGATTTTTGAAAATGACTGTTCATATGGTGTGGAATATAGCTCTAAGGGAATGAAAACATCCTGCAAAGATTTATATCTGAAAGTGCACCGTATATAAAGTTATTGTCTTTCAAAAGTGAGAGTCGACTCTGAGTCTATGAAATGAATGAGTCATTAGCTGGTTCGTAGTGACGTAGAGACATACTGGCAGCGCCCAGTTACTCAAGTAAACTTGAAGTCTACACATTCAAATACTTCATCATAGCATCATGTCGAGAAGACGCTGTGTTCTACAATGCAAAGATAGTTCAGCCACTTTGTTTTGGGATGAGCATGTGAAGAATCGGTGGTTAGAGTTCATATTTGCAAAGATACCACAACAGTATAGCCCGATTGTGTTTTCATCATTTTATTGACGAATAACGTTAGTTCAAAAACATAAATGAATTCAAATGTGGATTTGCAAGCGGTTGTTCCTGAAGGAGGGCTCAGTAACTTACTTACCCAGTGTATATAGATCAGCTTCCTCCTTCGAATCACAACCTGTAAGTATTATTAATAATTGTTGCTTTTATGGATTTTGAACGGTTTTGTTGCGTCGGGACACGAGGCAGTATGTGTGTGCGCTTGTATGTGTGTGTGTGTAAGTTACGCTCAGCGCAGCTTCTAGGTCTGCAATGTAATTTTTTTTTAAATATGTGAAATGTGTGTCGCTGTTATTGGAATATAGCATATCTCATAAAGAATAGAGCGTCTTGTAGTACTGCAGTGCTTTATCAATATGTTTATGCGTTGCAATAACTGACCAGGTCTGTCATCAGACCAATCACCACCGATTAGCGTCACGCAAAGAGTCGTTGTACGAATCATTTGGGAGTCGGTGAGCAAATCAGTTAAAAATAAATGCATAATATGAGACAAATAAAGTGTTTTTTATCCTTGCATGCATGTTAAACTGTTTTTGGGAACTCCTAAAACAAAAATAGGAACATTTCAAATGCTATGATAGAGGCTTTTTAATTAATTTACCAGAAAATTTACCAGCAGCTGTAAATACTTTTTACAGACCATGAAAGTGTTTTTGCAAAATTCACGATTTTCAGATTCTGAAATTTAATAAAGTAAACAAATATAAAATAACATGGCTGTTGTAAAAATGTAAAATGGCTGTGTAGTCTTTTAAACATAGTCTAATCTTTATTAAAGTTAAAAAAGTTATTCAGACAAGAGCAGTAAGTGATTTTCTCTTTGTCTTTTGTTATTGATTTCCATTAAAGCCACAATATGTATTTTTTCTGCTTTAAAAATAGCAAAAATAACTCTATCTATGTTATATATTTCTATTAGATGTGTACTTACATTATCCCGACAGTTTCCACCAACTTTCAAATACGGAGAAATTTATAGTTTAATTCGAAGACATGGGACGTTTCTTTATTTCCGTTTCGTCGCCCGTCTATGGCGTCATATAACCTTTGACTCCTCTATTTTCTCGAACTTCCCGCGGAACCCGGCGAAACCGCCAAACACAAAGGGGAACACTGGACTACCGCCAATAAAGCAAAGAAAATGACGAAGAAAAAAAGTAGTGCGTATTTTTATGTGTGTAAATCACGTGCCCGCTCACGAGCGCTCACTCTTAACAGACGCTGTCCCCGGTGCTGCTCGCGCATAAAGCGCTCCCCGTTCACAGTAACCGTGTCGTCTCATTCAAAACAGCCAACTGTTGCTGTTAGCGAGCCGCGAACATTGAATACTCATATGAGTCAGGCTGCGAATGTACGTGCCCACTTCAGCGCGCTCATGCTTACTAAATAAACGCCTCACATTCGGCGCCGCGCGCTGCGCTCACTATTCCCTTTAGCCTTTAGCACATAGTGGATGCATAATGCAAACCCAGTCAAACGTTTGACTTCAGTATCTTATGTGCTTTATAATCCGGTGCGCCCTATATATGAAACATGTTCTAAATAGGTCATTCATTGAAGGAGCGTAATATAAATATTTATATTCGTCTGTATTAGTTATGGACCACGATTACGCTTTGCCTGCACGTTCTGCTGCTACAGCCAGCTCAGTAAAGCTCAAACGTACGGGTGAAAAATATGACCCGAGAAGAATTTGGGACAGGAGAAAAAGCATGACACAGGTAAACATTTAAAGCTTCTCGACAAGCTACATCTACAGAGAGATGCCGTATCCGTATAGACGAATCCGACGAGCGTTCTGTGTAGGCTGCCATCTTGTGGCGACGCCATTACTGAGCTGTTACACAGGCATATAGACATATGCACCGGTATGTAAACAAACCTCGGTGATAACGCGAACGCACCCTCGATGACAGCTACAGCCAGGCAGAATGACATGTTGGTTTGATCTGTGACTGCAGTGGCCTCCAGTCACAGATGAAGGTACAAACGATCTTACAGATTAATGTTATTTATGAAAATAGCTTGGCAAGCTAGCTAGGCTAACGTTTGCTAACGAGGAAACTATAAAAAGATCTGTCCATTTGGCAACAATAAATAAATAAATGAATGTAATCAAATAAACAAATTCATGTTTTTCATTTGTGTCCATTATTTATCTCATTTTCACATTGCAACAGGCAAGGGTAAGGTAACGTTACAGCTAGAAAGTATACATAATATCGACCAATTAGTGTTTTTAAACCATGGAAAGAGGTCAATATAACAGCAGGAGAAAAATGTCACATAACGTTACATTTACCTCAGGAAAGCCATTTAATGACCATAGCATGTTAATTGAATAGAAAAAATAGCAAGAGAGGAGATTTTGCTGATCACTATATCACATATTTATTATATTTTTTTACTTATGTCATTAAATAATTGTTATTATACGCGAATGTCCGCGTCTTGTACTCGCCCAGGAAATCTGTGTAAACCGTACGGCACCAGACAGGGGCTGTCGACCCGGGGTATTCACAGTGTTTTCTCTTCAAAATTGAAATTTTACTGCCACCATTTAAACAATTTATAACGGAAACTGTTTACCCACTCGACATTATACAAGGGGTAATGTTGTAACGTTAGTGACAGTCGTAAATTGCGGGCTGTTTATTCCAGTGGACGCAAGTTGCAACTAAAACAATAGGAGGCAATGGCGCATCGCTACCCACCAACAGCTCAGTAATGGCGCCCGCTTACTTCCGGTAGTTTCGCCGGATTCGTCTATAATTTGTGAAACGATGATGTCATGCCATGAGCTGAGCTGGTTGCCATTGACAGCGACAACAACTACCGTGAGCCCACGCTCTTTCCCGACGTCATCAAAGTACGTCTTTTGTTATTATTTTAAATGAGTGACCCCTGGTGGCCAAAAATCGCATACTGTACGTTTAAAGGTGCTCTAAGGCTAAGCAATGTCGAGTGACGTGACTTCTTATTGATTTTTAAACTATTTTCAAAATTGGAGGCTAGATAGACCCTCCCTCCTCCTCATCCGTGCACTAGCCCCCTAAACCCCACCCACAGGGCCTTCTTGTCAGTTATTGGCTGGAACAGTTTGTTATGTTTTGTGGAACGGGTTGCCGCAGTTTGTTTTTGTTGCCATTTGTGGAGCCTGGGTTGTCTGCATAGACCACATTTTTTTACAGTGTGTTTAAGGGACAGGCAAAATGAATGACACTGATAGCAGCAGGACTATTAGGCTGATGTCACAAAGACCTGCACGGATCCACAGATATACTGATACTGTACACGTTTTCTTTCTCAACTATTTACGTCCACTTAAGACATAACAACTATGTTTACTAGGATACCTCATGTGAATTTGTCCTTTCAAGTGCAAGAAGACGCGAAAGAGAGCTCAATTCAGTATTCTGTCTGAAATGCGGCTTTCTGGCAGCACGCTTCGAATGTTTGTGGACAGAAAACTTCAGACAGTGAGCGAGTAACGAATTGAGTTCCCTTTTTCGCATTCTTGTGCTCGAATTTTTAAATTGGCAAGGCTTAAACATTCGCAATGATGCAGCAGTTTGTTCACGTTATATTCTCACAACATTGCATTGTTAAAATTCATAAGCATGTTACCGGGTAACTGGTGATTCAAAAAGGTTTAATATACTCACCGACGCTGATTTCTACTTGCATTTGATGCTTGGCGAGTATTAATTTCAGGCCCTGTTTATTAGTATAAAAAACATTTCCCTGTGGAAAAAAATGAATGCCGTTTTTTACGTCCAGAACCCGACTGTTGGACTCTATTTACAATTTAAATCTGATTTATTTGCTTTTTACAGTGAAAACTTTCATAGCTTACTTCCACACAGCCCCTCTCCAGATACACAGGCATTATTTTCTCTACCACAGCAATTTCTGATAGGGACAAATTATTACCCCACAGCCCACGAGGCTTCACTCGTTCATCTTGTAAGCTGAGGCCATGGATTTTGTGCTGTCCCCTCACAGATAAATCTACAGCGCAGGATGAGAGTGACCGGATTGATAACACAGGGTGCCAAGCGAATCGGAAGCCCCGAGTATGTGAAATCATATAAAGTGGCGTACAGTGAAGACGGGAAGGCCTGGAGCATGTTTAAAGTCAAGGACACAGATGAGGACATGGTAAGACGGGGCACACCGTTCGTTCCAGATGAGATGAGAGAGCCCGAGGGGGATTTTTTTAAATTAAGAATCTGTACGCTTAAGAACTTCTCCTGCCAACTCTGCCCTCTTTCCAGTTTTTATTTTTATCAGTCAGACTCCTCTAATTTTATATATCTGCAACAAATCTGCCTGAAAACTATTTTATCCCTTCAATGTAACATTTATCATAATTTAGGCCAGCTATATATCAATTCTTGCTTTTATGATAATGATAAATTAATACAAGTACAAATTAATTTGACTTTATGTAATTAAAATTATAATATCGTATTGAATAATAAAAGTACACTATTATTTGCACTAACATTTTGGGGTCAGTAAGATTTAAAAAAAAAAATAGTTTTAATGTAAGAAGTATCTTATGCTCACCAAGGTTGTTTATATATTAAAGCTCCAGTCTGTAACTTTTTTGGGTTAAAAATGGTCAATTTTTTTTTTTTTTTTTTTTGAGAAAGTACAAAACCAGCCAGTGTTCAACGCTATCTGCTTGCCTAGCTAATTTTATATATCTGCAACAAATCTGCCTGAAAACTATTTTATCCCTTCAATGTAACATTTATCATAATTTAGGCCAGCTATATATCAATTCTTGCATTTATGATAATGATAAATTAATACAAGTACAAATTGATTTGACTTTAAAATATGTAATTAAAATTATAATATCGTATTGAATAATAAAAGTACACTATTATTTGCACTAACATTTTGGGGTCAGTAAGATTTAAAAAAAAATAGTTTTAATGTAAGAAGTATCTTATGCTCACCAAGGTTGTTTATATATTAAAGCTCCAGTCTGTAACTTTTTTGGGTTAAAAATGGTCAATTTTTTTTTTTTTTTTTTTTTTTGAGAAAGTACAAAACCAGCCAGTATTCAACGCTATCTGCTTGCCTAGCTCGATTCAAAGTGGTAAGCTTTTAATAATGTTTTAATTCCAGTGGTACTGGTGGATTTTCACTGGAAATCCGAGCATGTCTTTGCGTCATTACGTCACATCTGTACACAAAAAGAAGAGTCTGTGGATCTGAGGAGTGTGAGGATCTATGAGGTGGAGATTTATAGCTTTTTCTCACAGCACTTGATATAATTAAACTTATCAATTTGATGGCGGATCCAGAAAGGTTCAAATGACAATCACCAGTGACAACAGATTCACCCTCTGTAAAATGCAAAAGACGTTAGACTTCGGACTGGCAAAAAAAAAAAAAGACTGCAACCGGGCCCATGAGAAAAAAAGGATAAATATCGGAAGGGCATTAAATGTAGTCACACAATGCTGATGTTGTTACCATTAACAATTTGAGAACAAAGTATAATTTTCACGGTTTGACGTTAGATTTAATCAGCGCGAGTTACTGCAATGCTTTTTTCCCCAGTTGGTCGGAACAAACGTGGATGTTAATTACTTTTTCAGATTACATTTTAGGATGAAGATTCTTATGTTGATCATACTTCCAAAAAGTAGAATCTGTGATTCCGAATGACAGTATCCACACCGGCGTGTGACTGACAGCTGCACACTCTCCTTAAACATTGTGTTCATCTGCGCTGTGCCGTGCCGAGGTACAACCCACGTAAAGTGTCAAGTCACCTTTATTTATATAGCGCTTTTTACAATACAGATTGTATCAAAGCAGCTTCACAGTGATAACCTGAAAATAATGCAACACAGATCAATAATATTGTTGAACATTAAATGTCCCTAACTAAGCAAGCCAAAAGCCAAGGCAACAGTGGCAAGGAACCAAGCCTCCATCAGGAGACAGAATGGAGAAAAAAACCTTGTGAGAAACCAGCCTCAGTCGGGGGCCAGTTCTCCCCTGGCCAACGAAGAAACAGTGCGTGATTCGGGCAGCATTACAAGTCAAATTGGATTGAAACATTAAGAGTATTTGTCCATTTCCATCTGTTTGGAAGACGAAGTAATCACGCCGGTATGGAGACGAGTTGTTGAGGATCAGTGCCGATGTCGCCGGCACTTAAGGATGAGTAGGGATGGGTCCAGGCGCAGGTCCACCATAGAGGGTCCCTCGTGATAAACAGAGAGACTAATATTAGCATAGATGATTTATATATTCTAGGTATTATTATCTGGCTGGAATTTCGAGATCGCAATAGACGTGAAGGACTATAATGCGTTAAGAGCTCACTCAAGTACTGGGGAGCTAAACCCTTTAGTGCTTTGTAAGTAATCGGCAATTTTTTTTTTAATTATTTATACGATGTTTAATAGGCAGCCAATGCAGTGTTGACAGAACCGGGCTAATATGGTCATACTTCCTAGTTCTTGTAAGAACTCGAGCTGCTGCATTTTGAACCAGCTGAAGTTTGTTTATTAAAGGGATAGTTCACCCAAAAATGAAAATTCTGTCAGTATTTACTCAACCTCATGTTGTTCCAACCCCGTAAGACCTTCGTTCATCTTCGGAACACAAATTAAGATATTTAAGATATTGAGATCGCTCCTGCATAGTATACTAGTCCATAGGCTTCCTGAGGGAATGACTCTTGCTGGCATCGAAAAGTCATTAAAGACATCGTTAAAATAGTCCAAGTGACTACAGTGGCTCAATTTTAACTTTATCAAACGACGAGAACACTTTTTGTGTGCAAAAACAAACAAAAATAACGACTTTATTTCAACTATTCACTTCCTTCTCCATGGGCCTGTAGTCAGTTAACGTAGTGTGATTGCGTAAAGCTACGTCACACGTAGGCTCACTATTGGCCGACGCTGGTCATGTGTGTGTGATGCGTGTGACGTACAATAACAGAAGCTTACTCTATTAAACTAGTAACCTGACTCGCGCAGAGGGAGAAATAAACGAATAGTTGAAATAAAGTCGTCACCCATTTTGGGGTGAACTAACCCTTTAAGTGTGCAGGGCAACCACCCAGTAGAGCTTTACAATAATCTAGCCTTGATGTCATGATCGCATGAACTAATTGTTCCGCATTTGTCAATGAGAGCATATGCCGTAATTTAGACATATTTTTAAGATGGAAAAAAGCGATTTTATAGATCTCGAAACGTGATTTTCAAATGAGAGATTGGTATTAAAGAGCACCCCCAGGTCTCTAACTGACAACTAAGACTCAACAGAGCAGCCATAAAGTGTTAGACAGCATTCAAGGTTGAAGTTTTTTGTCCAATAATTAGAATCTCTGTTTTTTCAGAATTTAGTTGTAGGAAATTACTAGTCATCCAATTTTTTATATCAGCTATGCATTCCGTTAATTTTGTGAATTGGTAAGTTTTGTTAGATTTTGAAGAAATATACAGCTGAGTATCATCAGCATAACAGTGAAAGCTAATCCATGTTTCCTAATGATATTTCCCAAGAATAACTGCAATTGCAGATTTCAAACAGAGATGGCGACAAAGAGAAAAATCGACGGACTGTAATTTTATATTAATAATATTTTTTAAATAAGTATCATTTTAAAATAATATTCAAATTCAAAGTAACTCTTTTCTATTTAAATACATTTTAAAATGTAATTTACTTCTTCGGTGCAAAGCTGAATTTTCAGTATCATTACTCCAGCCTTCAGTGTCATATGATCTTTCAGAAATCATTTTAATATGCTTAATATGCTGCTCAAAAATATTTATTATTATTATCAATGTTGAAAACAGTTGTGCTGCTTAATATTTTAGTAGGAAACCGTGGCTCATTTGTTTATGGATTCTTTGATTAACAGAATTTTCAAAAGAACAGCATTTATTTGGTATTTAAATGGAAATCTTTTGTAACATTATACATGTTTGTACTGTTACTTTTTATCATTGTATTACATCCTTGTAGAATACAAGTATTAATTTGTATCATTATTATATATTTTTTCAAATCTTACTGACCCCGAACTGAACAGTACAGTAGTGTATGTGGGTGAAAATCAGTGCAGTGTGATATGAGAGACATGAAACTAACTTATATTATGATTTAGCATTACTGTACATTAATATTTGACCATAGTTTTGTTATTTTAATGCAGATGTTCACAGGAAATACCGATAACAACTCCCCCTCTGTCAACTACTTCAGCCCACCGATTGAAGCGCAGTATATCCGCATTTACCCACAAGTCTGCAGGAAACACTGCACACTGCGAATGGAGCTCCTGGGCTGTGAGCTCACAGGTCTGTGTTTTGACACATGGGCGCAGTGTTCGGCACAGTCATGAGGCGTGAGAATTATGTTCACTTTTGCGATTGTTTTTCAGGATGCTCAGAGCCCATGGGGATGAAAACCGGACACATCCACGACTATCAAATAACCTCCTCCAGTGTGTTTCAGACCCTAAATATGGACATGTTCTCCTGGGAACCCTCCAAGGCCAGACTTGACAAACAAGGCAAAGTCAACGCATGGACATCAGCCCATAACGACCAATCACAGTGGCTACAGGTCAGACTTTAGACTTACTGTATTACACTATTACTGTATATACGGTACACTCACCAGCCACTTTATTAGGTACACCTTGGGGGTTGGAACCCCTTTTTCCTTCAAAACTGCCATAATTCTTCATAGCATAGATTCATAGGTGCTGGAAACATTCCTCAGAGATTTTGGTCCATATTGACATGATCGCATCATGCAGTTGCTGCAGATCCATGATGCGAATCTCCTGTTCTAGCACATCCCAAAGCTTCTCTATTGGATTGAGATCTGGTGACTGTAGAGGCCATTTTAGTTCAGTGAACTCACTGTCATGTTCAAGAAACCAGTTTGAGATGATTTAAAGCTTTGTGACATGTGTTATCCAGCTGGGAGTATCCATCAGAAGATGGCACACTATCTGTGGTCATAAAGAGATGGACATGGTCGGCTGTGGTGTTTAATGATGCTCAATTGACACTAAGAGGCCCAAAGTGTGCCAAGAAAATATTCCCCACACCATTACAGCACCAGCAGCCTGAACCAGTGTTACAAGGCAGGATGGATCCATGCTTTTTTTACACTAAATTCTGACCCGACCATCTTAACTTTGCAGCAGAAATCCAGACTCAACACACCTGGTAATATTTTTCTTATCTTCTATTGTCCAGTTTTGGGAAGTCTGTGTGAATTACTGTATAGCCTCAGTTTCCAGTTCTTATCTGACTGGAGTGTCACCGGTGTGTGTTGCTGCTGGAGCTCTTCTGCTTCAAGGTTTGACGTGTTGTGTGTTCAGAGATGCTCTTCTGCACCTTGGTTGTAACAGTTTATTTGAGTTAATATTGTTTTTCTATCAGCTGAACCAGTCTGACCATTCGCCTCTGACCTCTGGCATCAACAAGGCATTTTCTCCCACAATACTGCCACTCACTGGATATTTTCTCTTTTTCGGTCCGTTCTCTGTAAAACCCAGAGATGGTTGTGTGTGATGATCCCAGTAGAAGTTTCTGAAATACTCAGAGCATCCCGACACCAACAACCATGCCATGGTAAAAGTCTCTTAAATCCCCTTTCTTCCCCATTCTCATTCAGAACTCTCTTCAGCAGAACGTCTTGACCATGTCTACATGTCTAAATGCTTTGAGTTCCTGCGATATGATTGGCTGATTAGATATTTTCGCCAAAGAACAGTTGAACAGGTGTACCTAGTGGCTGGTGAGATATATATATATATATATATATATATATATATATATAAACTGTATAGATGTATAAATATATGAAGAGCTCTTTTCCAAAAAGCGATAAACGCCATTTTTAAAAAAAATGAGTTTGTCGTGTCATTCTGCTGTGGACAGAACCCTTCCACTGCTCCATCAACGTTTCATGCCAAATCGCTATATTTCCTTGTTTAAAATGTACTGCAAGATACAGTTTCTTTCCAAGCCGCGATAAGCGCCAGCCCTGTTTTTAGCCTAAACACGATAAATCCTCAAATTTAATGAGCGCTCTACACAATCCAGCACGGCGGCACTCTGAACAGAGGTTTATTATGTTCATTTATTCCTCAAAATGAGTCCTAGTTTTCTAGTCGACTAGTAGTAGATCATTTAAGCCATTTGTATTATCAGTAATCACATATATTGATTTAATTAAATGGGAGAGAAACCATATGAGCGTTTTTAATTGCCTATTCCGCATTTCAACGTATGCATAAAAGAACCGGCAAAAAGTAATGATTATGCATGAAACATTTGAATTGTTTATTAATAAACTAGTGTTTTCTGTCAGTGTCAGCAACAAAGATAAAGTTGATGATGCTTACTCGCCATCTTCGCAGTGAACGCGCATAGGCCTAGAGAAACGCATACTTCGAATTAGCCTACATACGCAGAGAGTTGCCAATTTATTTTAGTTTTTAATTGTTTTGTTTAAAAGTAGATATTTAAAGCTTTCTGTAGCTTAGTTCTCAGGCCTGTTCGGTTCATATTATGAGACGCGCTCCGGTTCACCTGCGCGCCTCTGTGTCCTGATTATATTGTCTGATATTTACTTCTAATGTATTAATCCAGTCAATTTGTCGATGAAACATTTATTAAAATGAAGATACAATTTATATGAAACGAAATTTACAAGCTTTCTACAAAACAAAACTTAATAAGTGATCAAAATCATGTCTGACGCACTCCAAATATTTTCCGATATTGGGCAGCTTTTGAATTTTGATCCTATCTTACTCATCTCATGCGGTTCCCTTTTCATAGCCTACTCAACATAGATGAAATAATAAAAATAAGTAATGTAATATTATTAAAAACAAATGTGAAACGTATATTTTATGTTTATTTATTTATTTATTTATTTATTTTTTAACTTATATTTAAGCGTCATGCTGCTCCGCTTTGCTCACATGTTATGTAGCCTGTGTGTGTGTGCATGTGCTGGAGGGGTGCCCATCCCTTTTTTGAATATCGTTATCATATATTGATCATTTTTAATAATTCGTTTTTTTTCATGCATATGTTGAAATTGGTACTATTTGTTTGAGGTTTGACTCTTTACTAAAAATGACTTTACTACAAATGATACAAAAAAATGGATGGATTTATAGCGTTTTGGAAAAAAATAAAATTAACTTTTAAATTATCATTAACAATATTGTTGTTTGATTTAATAATTATTGTTCAAAATGTTCAGACTGAACCAATAAAACATTTAAACAGGATAATTTGAATATTCACAAAATGTGTGTGTCTAGGTAAAAAATGTAGTTTTCCTGAAAACTATTGAAATGGATTTATAGCGTTTTGGAAAAGAGTTCTTCATATGAAGAGTTCAGATTCAAAAGCCTCTAAATGCCATTTGAAATTTTCTTCTTTAATGATGATTTTTGTCAAACTTGTATATTTAAGTTCAGTAATTTCACTTAAATAACAATTAATAGGTAATTATCATTGCCATTTAAGTACAATTACTGAACTTAAATAGCCTGGCATGCCAGACCTACATCAAGATGTTAGGTCTGGAAACTCTTCATTGACAGGGCTCAATCCGAGGGGCGGGATAAACGGTTGTCTTTCAAATTCTCTCTGCACGCAATTGGATAGCGCTAAAGCCAATCAGAGCAACGAAGAAGGTGACGTACTCAGCGGAGCAAGTTGATATATTAAACTTTTACCGCATCCAGTCCAGCTGTCAACATTGAACATTGAAAATAAGGGAGATTTCCCGGAATACACCCCCAAAATAAGGGATTTTTTTTATTTTTTACACGACCCACAAACTTTAAAAATAAAACACTAATCATTAAATGTCTAAAGAGTTTATAACTAGCCTACATATGTGTGAGAGAGGAAGAGACCGTATGTCAGTGTGTGTTTGTGTGTGTGTGAGAGAGAAAGAGACAGTAGTGTGTCATTAAAAAAATAACATCATAGAGAATGTTTAAATATTAATATCAGCTTACGAGGGAAACGGAGGCGGAGTAGTGGTGCTTCGGAGTGGTGGAGATGATTCGGGAAAGGTCCGTGCACCATAACCGATCAGAGCGCGCGTTGACACGGAATAAAGCCTTTGTCCTCGACGACAAAATGACAAGTTGATCGTCAAGCAAAAGCTTTTTTGTAACAGCGCGCGCGGCGCCGGCCGCATCCGAGGATGAACGACTTAAACCCGAATATGTCCGAGCTTGCTCTGATCGTCGCAACTCTGTCGTCACTTTAAGCCCGCCCGCCGACTCTATACACGATGTGATTGGCCCTACCAGAGTTGAGTTTTTCCAGCTAAAACGTCTATGGAGAGTTGCTAGACCACACTTTGCTGCAAAATAATTTTTGCTGCCGCTAGGGTGCGTCTAGATTTCTAGGCTAGAACTTAAATATACAAGGTTGATAAAAATGATCATTCTTGAAGAAAATTTCAAATGGCACTTAGAGGCTTTTGCATCTGAACTCTTCATACATATATATATATATATACTGTTAAAAAGTGTAGGGTCAGTAACATTTTTTTGGAAGAAATTAATACTTTTTATTCAGCAAGGACACATTAAATTGATCAAAAGTGAAAAAATATAGATTTTGCTCATTAAAACGAAATAGATCAGCAAGCTGTACAATATAAAAACAGTTCTCGCTGCTTTTCTCTCTCTTTGTTATCATAATTTTAAAACCCATAGTTAAAAGCACTATATATTCTGGTTTATGAAGCCCTCTCTGGAATTTTTATGAGTTATTTAGCAACAGACAACCAATCATGAACCAAACAATGTTTACTTCATTAAATATCCATGACTTTGTACTGTCGCAGAAACTTTCATTTTCCATTTCTGCCCCTGAGGGAGTTAAAAAGTCACACAGTGCCAAGCATAAACTGGGGTGATAAACAGCTGGTATTATTTTTAATAGAACCAGAGAATATTTATGTGGTGATTTCAGGATTTCTAAGGAGGCACCAAATAGGATACCATATCACAAAAAAATATTTCAGCCAATGGGATCATTTAAAAATCCAAGTGGGCTGAATTTGATGTGGTAGGATGTGGCATCAATCTATTTATAAGATTTTACCCAAAATTTTCCATGCCCTATAAACATAATCATCCCCATGCAATCAATATTCTGCAGGGTCATCTTTCATTTCGTCCATAATCTTCCATGTACACTCAGGTCAGTTTGAGGTCAGCTACTGTACCACCAACATCACCAATCTAGCTAAACTGGTAGACTATTATCAGTGTTTGCCCTGCCATTATGATGAAACGTAAATCTGAGTTCGGCCTCAGAGCGGAGGGCCGTGATGTTTTTAAATGGCTGAGTCTGTATCCATTGAACTGAGATTGGGAAATTGGATCCGAGAGAACAGCCTAATGTATATATTATATGACACCGGCACGCTTGCAGAGCTGAGCCCGGCCGCTCAAACCCTCCTCTGAGATTGCAGAGCTGCTATGAATGCCGCTCACGTCAGGCCAGGTCAGAAAGCAGAACCTCAGTCCTCATGAAAAAATAATACACAGAGAGAGAGAG